CTGGAACATATACTTTAAAGGTAATACAAAAACCTATTAGCACAATCCTTATAGAATTAAAATTTGAAACACGATATAAGTGCTGTTGTTAATCATAAAGGACTTGTTTTATTCTATCTATCAGGAGTTCTCGAGATATGCAATAAGGAAATTTGTTCATATATAATAATGAAATGTTATTCATATACGATCTGCAGGCGTATATCCATAATATCTACGAAGCATGAGGTTTTGTTAAGCTCTTTGTCACGATCTCTCTGTCTCACCTGTTGTGGTCTATAGGAAGTTATAATAGAAAAAATTAGAACACTCATGTTTGACAAATATATTGTCAAAAATTTTTAATTCTCGTCTGCTCATGATTTATATGTCATTGAACATTTTTCTTATTTTTTATACAATATATTTTAGGTACTTTATAGAGGTTTTCAAATCCATAGTCGAGAAATAACAATTGAAAATTCATTATTGCCATTAAATTTAACAATTATTATATCATCCTCGACTTATCTTCCTTACATGAATAGGACAATTGTAACATCATCAACGATTCCAATAAGTTCAGGGAATTCATTATCAAATATTTTCGTGAACTTGAAATTTTATCATTATTTATATTTTTATTTATTTATTTTATCCTTATGAAAGAGAAATAAATATAATGTAACGAAAATTTTCAGAATATTTTTTTTATTTTAACCTTGAGTAGGACCGGATATAACAATATTTAATTCATTTAATTGCATTAATAACTTTAGATTATCATGAATTTCATCATATGACATACAGTGACCCATAATATAAAGATGATTAGAACAACAAGCAAGTTGATCATTTGGACACGGAAGAGTTTTGTTAACTAAATAAGTTTCAATACTATGTTTAGCTTCTAACCAAGTTTCTGAACACCATGCTGTACAACGACTTAAATTCATAAAACCACATGCAGCATATCCACATTTATGACGTCTATGTTGGACTACCTAAATAAATAAGAAATGAATTATTCTTGAATGATTTTATTTACATAAAATGTTGTTTGTCGAGTTTGTGATATTGTTTCAATTTCAGGTTCAATTTTACAACACCAATTTTCAGCTATATCATAGGTAACATTTTTTGTTAGTTGGTTTTGAATTGTTGTTGATATAAAAATAAAATTTATAAAGAATAGTATTTTAATAAAAGCCATTTTAATTGAATCAGATATTTTTTAACGATTTCATTTTTTTTTATATATAAATATTAGCATATGTTATTTTTTTCTCATAACATCATACAATATTTTGTCTTGTTTCAAGATTAGAAATGTAAGACGATCAGTTTAATCACCATCGCAGTATAAAAATAAATACTAGGTTTTTGTTTTTGAAAATTTTCAAGGATGCTCTTGTCTAATTTCTGATCATCACACATTTATTTATTTTCAAAATTTCTCGAGATTAAGAAAATTTAAAAAAGAAACATCGAATACTTTCATTAGTTGTCGTCATCGATTAATACAAATCTACTGAAGATCCACAGCAAGAAAAACATTGTTCGATATATATATATAAATTTCGTTTTTATTGAGAGCATTTATCATTCTATAATATATTCATTAGAATTTCTATGACTTATTTATATAAGTGATCATTTACAGTTACGATTCTCCAACTTTTTTTTCTTTCTTACCAATCATTTTCAAAACTTTTTCTTTTTACTGACACATAAGAATAATAACAACCCATAGATTCGTATGTTTAACTTGTACAAACAACAACAGCAACCGTTTCTATTTAATGCCATTATCATTCATCATCAATTTGACGAAGGTGTCTTTGACAGTCGTTTTTCTTCTCTTTTTTTTCCATTAATACATTCAAAAATAAAAAAAAAACGGCGGATCGTACAAATTTTTTAACAAGTAAAGCGTTACAACAATCATCAAATGTTCGTTTTGTTGTTTCGCCGTCACGAGGTTCGACATTTATAACGAAGCGTGTACATCAACAACTAACAACACCCTCATCATCTTCAAACAAAACATCGAGCACAATAAAAGGTGAGCATCTACCGCCCATACGACGCCATCCAACAAAGAGTGCATTTCGACAATATTCAACAAACGATTTGACTTCAAAACGTTTTGTTCAGCTCTTATTAAAATATAATAAATATCGAGCAAGACCAAATAAACAATATATAACAAAATCAATGAGTACTACAACAACATCAAAGAAACCAGTTCCAGTTGTTTCAAATAAAATGCCATCACAATCTATAAGAAGAAGTTCCAATGATAGTGATAAAAGGGTATGAAAATCAAACTTGAATTGAATTCTTTTTTTTTAAAGTAAAACTAATAATGTATTTTAGGTTCGTAAATTGTGGTGGACACCCAAACGAAATGAAGTTGATATTCGTTCAGAAAATGATACTCGTTATAAAAATGTTTCAGCAAAAGTGAATTCTTTAGCGAATCTTGACTATCGTCCTGGTGGTGGTCAAGTATCTATACGTGATGAGCCTATACAATGGCAAGCAGCATCAAAAGTGAATTCACTTGCTAATGCTAGTTGGGCACCTTCACCAGGACGTGTTAGTGTTAAAACGGAAAAATTACAATGGAATGCTCAACCTAAAGTTGATTCAATGGCTAATATTGATTACAAGCCTTCTGGTGGTGAAAATACAGCGATTCGTGATGAAAAACTTGACTTTAGTCATATTACACCACGTGTTGATTGTGGATTTGTTGATTAAATAGATGACCTACTTTATAATTCGATGTATATTTTTTTTTTATAACAGATTTATTAGACAACACTATTGAAAATTAAATAAAATATTATTTTTTAGGAAGAATAGCATTATGTTATTGTAATAGAATAATTGTTAAATCTTTCATAAAGCATGATTTTTATAAATGCATTTTGAGTGTATTTTGAAAAGTTGAACTGGATTCTTTTTACATTACTTCCTGTAAATCTTGACAAATATTTTTCATAAATCAGATTCTCTCATGAAGACGGTCTACATATTTGTAATTTAATTTTTTTGAACGACACTTTCAATATTTATTGGTTAAGAATATAAATCACCTTGAATTTACACACCTAGAAAAATGAAACAGACATTTTTTAAAATCGTTGAAACAATATAAAAACAATTTAGCTACATGATTGAGATAATGAATAATTTAAATTTTCTAATAATAAAAAAAAGCTAAGTACTGTTTATTATACTACGTAGTTTAGTTTTATCATCTTTCTGATTCAATTTATATCTTCTATAATCATAGATTTCATTTCATTACAAACTGTTTGAACATATAATGTATAAATAAAAAAATCCTATCGTTAGATTAAAACTGTACCATATGAAATTAATAAGGTTACCCAGTCAAAAAAAAAACCAATAAAAGCAATGACTTTTATGCGTTAAAATGTGCGCTTTTTAAATTGTAAAAAACCTTCTTTTTTCTTGAAAAACAAACGAGTTTGAAGACGATGATGCCTACAAACTTGCTTTTTTTTTACAAAAACAAAGGTTATTTTTCAGCGCAAAAAAGGAGCATATTTCAATACGTTAAAATGAAACCTTGTTGGCTTGGGTATTATCAATTTATAATCTTTTTTTTTTCTTTTATTTTGTGGTACAATTGATATTTGATTTTTTTTTAAATTTCAGAATTATTACTTTGACAAAGAAAACTCATACGAGTGGATGATAAAAGACAAGAGAAAGAAAAAAATTGAATTGCTATTCCATTTATTCTTTTCAAAATATATAACGATATAAATCTTTTCTACTATAAATTATTTTCATCAAATTAATGAAAATGTTCTTCAAGCTTTGTTCCACATAGCGATTACCGAAGAGTCACTGATGAAACAATCATTGGAATAGAATATTTGTATCTTCAGTATATCGATACCATCGAGAGACCGATCAACTTGACAAAAATTCCATGTCGGACCTTCCGTAAACGTGATGTAGTTCAACGGAAAAGCATTGTAGAGCACTCTTATTTTGTACTGTACGATTTGCTCTACGTAATGGCTATCAAGTGTTTTACCATAAGTTTTCAATCTAGCTTTCGTGAAGCTGTTGAACGTAAAACATTTTATTTCAAAGACGTTCAATTTTTGCGGTTTTTTCAAATTTATCGATTTTGTAACTCATTTTTTTCGATGACAGAGCAAAACAAAAACGAAATATTTTCTTACTAATATATAGTTTACGGAGTTTAATACAAGATATGTTTTATTTATTTTTGCAATCATTCTATATATGGTTACTCCTGTGACCATGCCTGGGTAAGGGGATAAAGGGTTAAAACAAATAATTAATATTAAAGGGTGGTCCAAAAGTTTCGACCTCTCTCAGTAAATCGATGATATCTATGGCAAACTTATATGAAGTTATTGATCAAATTATGTCATTTTGTCGAAGAAGATCTGAAAAAAAAAATTATTCGAAATACATAAATCTACTACAATCCTATGATCATTTTACTAATCTTGAGTGAAAATTTTTACGATTCATTTTTTGGAAAAACAAAATATGTTTGTAACACCTTAAGCAATATATCGTATTCTAGATATTTTTATATAATTCGAGAGAGTTCGATAAGCTCTACAATAATATGTATGTTTACAAAACTTTTGATCTGATTTTGAATATGAAACTTAAAGGAAACCAGAAAAAAACCAAGAAAAATTTCATCTATCAAATATTAAAGAGAGTAAGTTGATCTTTCAAAAGTTTTAACTAGTTGACTGTTTTATCTATTCAGGCAGCTCAGAAGAGGTATTTTCGGCTTCAGTATGTAACACTGCATCTCGAAACATCAATTAACAGTCGATCAGCTAAAGTTTTTGGAACTTAAGCATACTAGTTCATGAAAGATATGTAAGATTTTTATTAGTTTGCATGATTTCATTCGAGTTTTATATTGAAAGCAGGATTGGAATTTTTCTTGATATTCATATTTTTGTAGAGCTTGTTGAACTCTATCGAACTATATAAAAATGTCTATTACAAGCATGTAGAAATTAATATTTGGCTCGGCTTTAACGGTTCAAACATTAAAGATTTCTTTGTTTTTTTCAAAAAATGTAACTTAAAAATTTTCACTAAAAATTAGTAAAATGACCATAGGATTGTAATAGATTAGTATATTTCGAATTCTCTTTTTTCAGATGATAGCTCTAATCTTCCTCGACAAAATGAAATAATTTGATCAATAACTTCGTATAAGTTTGTTATAGATATCATCGATTTACTGAGAGGGGTCGAAACTTTTGAACCACCCTTTATTAAGAAAATTATTCGTCTCGTTATTTGTAAATTACTCAGATGAAGCTAAGACAAACTTAATTTCAATTGAGAACACTGATGAATTCTACAACTTCTTAGATTTAATTAAAATTGAATATAACTTTATATATCAGTTCTTGATTCTTATGTTTTGACGTCTGTCTAATAACCCATGTAATTCGAACCAAACGAAAACCACCGGTTTTTTCAAAGTAGTGCATCACAGTGTATTGTTCATAACGGATGAATTTTTTTAAAGTCTGTTAAAACTGACAGCATTGAGTCGATTTCTATGCACACAAATAATGTTGATATATCTGAACTGCCTGTGCCAATTACAAAGCCCAAATCGGTCTTAGTTCTGACATAAATCATTATTCTTGATGGTGATGCAAAATTATTTATTAACAAAACATATTCTAAAAGTGTTGTTTTTCTTGATGAATTCGAATTTGGATAGAAAACATTCGCTGCACTCATTTATAGTTCAAAACCGAGAGTTGTAAGCGCTACCGGCAGTACAACAAATAAATGTACAATATAGAAAGTGTTCTATGGCACAAACGCCCTCTACGATATATTTGTCCTATTTGATTGTTGAGTATCTATTGCTAATCGTTCCCAGGTCGTGAAACGCCTTCGTCATTCAAGATAAAAAAAATGCATGTCATGATCGTAAACTACGAATAAGACATACTTGCGCAAAATGAATTGAGTCTTACAAAATTACACTACAGATCTATATAAAATGTGCATTCTTTTGTAAAGACAATATTTATTCTTTCGATTAATTATTAAATTCAAATGACATCAACTTTTCTTGTTTATCCATCAGTACCAACAGGTAATAATTGTCGTATTGAATTAGCTGGCCTTGATCTATGGAGAATGGCACGTATCGATAATGTATTTGTTTATCCATCTGAAATTAATATCGATTGTTTCAATGATGCACTCAGTCGTACACTTACTTTATGGCCATTAATTGCTGGTCGTTCTTATTTAGATAATAATGAAGATTATTTTATTGAAATGTGCGATAATCCTATTCCAGTGACATTAAACAATAATTATGATTTAGTTCAATGGCCTTTTGATTCAAATGTAATTGTAGATTTTTATAAAAATTCTCTTTCAACATATATTGATGAAGTTCAAACGACAAAATTATTTGATAATACACAAAATGAACCACTTATACGAATCAAATTAACGCATATTATACAAAGTAATGAATGGATTTTCGGTATAAGTTGGGCACATGAATTAGGTGATGCTTATTCATGTTTAAAATTTTTAAATACTCTTTCTTGTTTATATCAACAAATAAAACCAAATGAATCATTACCTATATTTGAACGACGTTTATGGAAATCTGATGAAATTGATTCATCACTTCTGTCTCTAATGAAACATTTACGAGATGCTAAAACATTTGAAGAAATGTGGAGAAAATTTATGATTGATCAAGAAGCATATGATCAAGTTAATCTATGTTTTTCTAATAAACAACTTATAAAATTAAGAATTTTAGCTGGTGAAGATAATATAACACTTCAAGATGCACTAACAGCTTATATTATTCTTACATTGAATACATATTGTTATGATAAGAATGATGAACGTCATATTCTACGTACAAATACATCAGTTAATTATCGTGGTGTATCTGATTCAATTGCTTCACATAGTCAAATAAGTAATTCGGTATTAATGATGTTATCAGATAATTTTAAAGATTCATATTCATTATCAAGTATTGCAAAAACAATTCGACAATCGATTATTAAATCACGTGATTCAAAATTTCTTGAACGTTGGTTAGCTACAGCTAATGATGCAATGAAAAAAATGATTCATAATAATCGACTTGCTGATTTAGGATTTTTTTCAAATGAAATTGTTGTTAATTCAAATTTAAGATATGATTGGGCAAATTTAGTTGATTTTGGTTATAAAGATAAATGTCGATTTTATACAGGATGGTCAGGTGCATTTTATTTACGAGTATTTCGTCTTAATCCAATATATAATGGAAATGAATGGTTACCAAGAGATAAAAATGGAGCTGAAGTCATATTTCGAATTGAAAAAAATTTAAAGGAAAATTTTATGAATGTGATAAAAAGAGATATGAATGAAAATTTTGAAAATGTGAAGACTTAGATTCTTACTATATGCTTTTTTATTCATTATAGAAATATAATTGTACACTCATACATCATTCTACTCTGAAGGTCCCCATCATCTCCTATCAAGAACCTAGTTTTGTTCCAAAACAACCGATCTAGCTGAAAATTGCAGTCCAAAAGTAGCTCTTTGTGTATTTAAGATTTCTCACCCAAATTAAAGATATAGATTTTGGATTGGCACCATAATGTAGTCAAAAATCCTTCTTTATTATTTTTCCTGGCAGTTTTTCTCAAAAACTAAGTCAAAAATAAAAGATCCGACTCCAATAAGTTGTTGAACACAGATTTCGTGAGCTTTCTAATATATATAATGGCTGAGAGCTCTGGGACGCGAGGATAAAAAAACTGTTAAGAGGAACGGTAAACAAAATTGAACTTTGAAAATCGAGATTTTTTCCTTCGTAGAGCGATTCACCAGAGACTACATGAAGCGTGCTTGCGAAATATGTTCTTCAAGTCAGAAACCTATAGACAATTTCTTGAGTCTAAAAATACTGAAGATTCTGTTATATATCGGTCATGAACTATGAATCAATTTCTGTTGCTACGATGATTGTTATAAGATGAAATTAGTCATATAAATTAACAAGTACTATAAAATATTCGATATATCAAAAGGTGTCTATGTTTTTTTTTTTAATTAATGAACATGTAATTTTTTAATTATTTGTAGATCAAAGTTAATATGCTCTGCTATTTTTTCTAGATCATGTTTTTTTAAGAATGATAATTTTACATACAAAAAAAAAGAAGAAAAACAGACATATCTTATCATTTGATGTCATATAAGTATATTTAATGTTGTTGAAATAATTTGATTTGTATTGAAAAACAAAATTTCGATTATTTCACAGGATGTTTTTGATTAATATCTAATGAAAAATAAACAAATTAGAAGATATAATAAGTTCAAAGTTTACTTTTTAATAGTGATTTTTCATTTTTTCTTCTTTCTTGTATCAAGATTTATTTTTGAATTTTGATCTAAATTAAAAACAAATTTGATTAATTAAATTTATTTCTAACTAATAGTCCAGAATAAATTAGAGTTTTCGTATTTTGTTGATATCTTGCTAGTTTTTTAATATGCTGATTTCTTTTCGATTTCAAAAGATGCACATGAAAATTTTCAACAGATTAACATAAAAAAACAGCTTCCACAAAGCTTGACATACCGATTTTATCTCAATATTCGAGAATTTCATGAGACATATATTGATATAAAAAAAAAAGGAAATCTGAAAAATACAAACTGAGCGAAATATCAACAAAATATGAAGACCACCATGGATGCTAGCTCATGTATGTATTATTAATTTGCTTCATGATTAGTTTATTAAAAGGATATCACTCGATTCAAGAGTTTGACAAACGAAATCAAATTTTTCCAATTGTAATTACTAGTAGAATGTTTCCTTTCTAAGAATATGTTACATATTTAATAATTAGTTTCAATGCAAAAAAATAATATTTGATCATTTAATAGGAAATTTTCATGTAGTTGTGTTAGTTTACTAACCATGTGTTGTATTATCATGTTGATCAATATTAATCATATTTTGCGCATTATCCACTAATTCAGATAAATGCATCAAAAACAAAATATTTAATTTCTTTATATAAAAATTATTCTGATTTGAAACATACGTTCTGATATCCTAGGATGGATAATAACAGATTCATTGGAAAAATTTGTGATCCGTGTTTTTCGTTTATAAATCACACTTGTTTCTGATTCTAGAAAAAAATATGTGTATAACGTATTTTTTTAAAATATATAAGTTGTACCAGAGGAAGTAGATGTTCCATTAATCTGTATTGCCAGGAAGGTATTGACAAATTTTTGTTGTCGACTAAGATAATACGTGAGAGGATAACGAGATTTAAGTAATTTATTCAATAATGAATCTTGATTTGTTTCAGCCATTGAGAATAATGAAAATTTTAAGTTAAATTTAAAATGTGAAACAACTAATTGCGCTACTATCTTTGTCTAAAAGAAAAATTTCTATTGGTAATCAAGATTATCACATTTTTTTAATCAAGTCTTTGTTCTTATATCTTTTATTAACTATTCATAATACTAGTGGCGGAGCCAGGGGTGGGCTGGAGGGGGCTCAGCCCCCCCTCCCCAGAAAAATTTTAAAACCATGTATTTTATTCGAAAACCGGGGCTCAGAGGTGCCTTAGAAGACGCTGAGGCCCCCTAGCCCCTCCCAGCTCAAAATCCTGGCTCCGCCACTACATAATACGCGAGAATAACCAAATAAATATACCTTATAGAAAAACACTTGATTAAGTTTAATGAGTAATGAAGTTGCATTGGATTTCTTTTTGGAGAAGTAAATTTTCGGATATTTTGTACGAAATGGTTCATTTATCAAAACTATTTTAATTAAATATAACTTCGTTGTATGGGAAAGTTTTTTATTGATTCTTAAATAAAATATGTTCATTATTGTTGTTATGATAAGATGCATTACTCATCAATAAGGAAATCATTTGCTTATTAATGTCTTTCAAACTTTTAAAATCTGATGATTCCCTCGTTGTAGATAAACAATAAATCTAATGCAGAATATTTTAACTTTTTTTAAAATATGTTTTGATCGTTCACAGATCTATAGATATGTGTTCATAAATGCGAAGTTGCTATAATATGTAAGTAACTATCACATTTTCTTCAAGAGACAATGTTTCGAACTGATTTAGAGTAGTTTGGTTGATATTATGTGAGCATGCGGATAAACTTATTCTAAGAAAAAGTCTAAAAAGATTCGGACTGATGATATGGCTTCTGTCAATAAAATCTATATAACTCGTAAGAGGATTCACATGTACTTCTATTCATGATACAGAGAGATTTTCTCATTGTAATTTATATGAGTTGTATCGTTATGATTTCTCTATTTATGAAAGAATGAACATATTCATATCTATTGGAAAAGTCTGCATTAGTTTCAATCCCCACCATTCCCAATCTACAAAAGATTTCAAGTTAACATTTAATCATCCAATTTTCTATGAATACTTTGTTATGATTGAAACAGTAAGAAGTTTTCTTCTTAATGTCGATTACTTCTAATGTTTTGCATGGAGAATCCTGGTTCAATAAACTCGTTGTTATTAAAAATTGTATTACTAGCAGAAATATTGTGATTTTTTGATATGACGATCTCAGATTTTTATTTCAAACATTCAATTAAATAATACTTTTTCCATTTTTATGTTTTATTTACATATAAGATAGTCGAAAAATATTGCAACTTGATTGATCTTAATTATTAAATCAATCTGACAATATTTTTTAAGAATATGCAGTTAATTACTTTTTATTCGAGTTCTTCGTCGAAAAGGTAAATCAAAACATTCAACGAAAATAGTCATTCATTTTATTGAATTATATGCAGATTTACATCATCCGTAGTCGATATTGCTAGTTTATTTCGATTGAACGGAGTAGCATCGTATGGAAACGGATGACATTTAATCGTTTTCTTTATTTTTCCTCCTTTTGTAATCTGCAACAAGCGTTCAGTCTCATAGTCAACAATGAGCCATTCATTACAAGTAAGTAAACAACAACGAAATGGTATATCTTGGATACATTTAATATCAAGTTGAAATGTCCAGATGCAATCGAACGTCTTTGTATATCTTAATTCCATGCGCAGCAATTTCTTAACTATACTTTTAACCATTAGAGCAAGATTTCCCTTATTATGAACAATGCTATCGATAATTTCATCTTTGGTACATGTTAAAAGGATATTTCAATCCTCTAATCAATTTGATTGCTGGGTATAATGTGAATTCCATAATGGATGAAGCACATTCTTTTGTGGATACAAAGAAACCTGTATCAGAACATGTACACGACATCAAGTCATGTTCTTCAATTCTTTGCACATTATCAATTAACATTGTATTTTCGTTAATGAGAAAGATGTTATTTTTTTCAAGCACAATGAATTTAGCTAAGGTTGATGACCAACACATGTCATGAATTTCCCCGTAAGACCTTACTGTTTGTTTGACTATATTCATTTCTCGATCAAATAAACATAAATTTGGATGTTGATGTATTAATAAGTATTGATCGTTGCCAGTAAATGATCGAAAACTTCCCTCTGAGAACGATGAATTGTTCTGTTGAGAGAGAAAATAGTTAATAGATCAAGTTCATGTTCAATCGTTTTTTTCTTAATAAAAATAAGTTTGTCATCTAACACTAATGGACGAGTATTAACCGTAAAGCATCCCTGTTCAATGTTATTCATATTTCTTTCTAGCTGACAAATAGTTGATATCAATAAATCGATATCTTGGCGAGTTGTTTCTTGTGTATTAGTGAGCTCAGTCATCTTCTCTTGTATTTGATTGAGTTCTTTTCGCTGTTGGTCAACTTTTTTCATTAACAAATTGATCAAATTCTTGAAATTTTTCTTCAAAAAAAGAATCAATCTTCTGATGACAATCTTCACGCCATTGTTCAAGTTTTTTACTACAATCATCAATTGTTATTGGCATATTTAATGTATTGAGACAATCGCTAAGTGCATTAACTTTATCAGTTAAAGGATTCAGTTGAGAACTGAGTAAAGCATTATGTTCATTTAAATGTTGTAAACAAAGATTTTGTTGGCAACAATCACACAACACACATGATGTACGTGTGCATTTCTTTATTGAACATGATTGAGACATTTGATGAAAGTAATTGAAATTCTAATGTTCTAAAAATAGTTGCAATAGAAAGACTATTTTTCTGAAGGAACAAAAAAGGAGATTATCATTGTATTCATATAACGGAATTAAGGGTTTCCTTTTCAACTTTAAAGTGAATAAAAAGACGTTCTAACAAGAATAACTATGTTAACTTCAGCTGTACATGTTTATCTAACAGAAAATAGACCAGTCATATTTTTCTGAAGAATATGGTCAAAGAAAAAGAATCTGTTTCTATTATGAGAAACATTGTAGTCTGTGTGTACATTTCTTATCGAAATGTCAACATTGTCAAAAAATTTGTTGGAGTTATTTCAATTGAATTAAATAACAAATAAGTATAAATTAATTTATGATATTAAAAACCAAACACATACTTATAGTTAATTTCTCATTCTAAAAACTTTTATATTATTTTTGTAAGAATAAACGTAGAAGAAGTTGTTAAGAAAAATCATACAATACTTTTTGTTAATAGTTTATAGAATTCTAGATCTGTTCTGACGATGCAAATATCTATAACGAATGACAGGAGATCTTTACGATACAATGTTCTGATTTAAAAAGCGAATCAGTATATTATTAGAACAGTTTTTGACAATATTATCTGTTTTTTTTTGCTGTGAATGTCAATTTTTATTTTGACATATAATGTACAAGTAAAAAGAAATATAATTTCTAAATTCTTGCTTCCTTTTAGTGCAGTCGAAATAATGTTATATTCTGCAAAAGATTCCTACAAGTGTTTAAATATCAACAATATTGATCAATTAATCTTATTCTAATGTTTTCCCTATATGTTGTTCTTTGAAATAACCTTCACTGATAGACTTTAACTTCGACTGATACATAGATAACAATGCAACGTGGTATTCAAAAATCCAATAGAGCGAAATCTTTCTTTGATTCAATGTGAGGTTGACCCTGGTAAGCGTTTAACTTTTCGTTATATGCAGTATATTTCTTGCTAATATAAAGTTAAGAATTCCCAAAATGAAGAAATAACTGTAAGCATATATCTTGTTTTAAATATCATCAATTAATTGATATTTATTTAATATTGAGATGAATTGAAATGCGTTTAACAAATTTTTTTTCTCGAAATGCTAAATTCGTCAAACATTGTCGCCAGCAGGTGTACTTTCAATACGACATATATATGTAGATTTAATTTGTAAACTTCCATGGAATTTTCGTATTTCAACTAGTGATGCTTTTGTAATATATCAAGAAGCTAAATTCTGAAGAAGAGATGTCATTTCGAATTAATTATGATAATGATAATCAATAGGTTGATGTTTATATAAAAAAAAACAAATTAAATGTTCAGTAGTTTTTGTAAACGCTCAGCAAACTAATAATTTGAGGATATGGATGCTACTGGCAGAGGGGATGCATTCGGCGACTCCAAAAAATTGAAGCCAAGAACTGCGCCGGACCGATTTTTTAAAATTTCTTGAAACCGAGACTGTGACAAAAAGATATTAAAATCGTTAAAGGTGACGGATATGTTAAATCATTAGATAGATACAACTATTCTTGAATCTATGTAGAGAAATCTTTATTTGTTTCACTCTTGAGATTAAAGATTTTAGTATATATATAACGGGTGGCGCAGAAGAAATTGCAGACTTATGATAGGCTGTTTTTTAAAGTTAGATTGTATGAGAAAATTTCGTTCTGATGTCAAAAGATAGAGAATTTTGTGCAGATTTTATTGATATGGTCTTTGTAAAATTAGCATTTGTTCTTCTCTTGTAGTATTAAAGGTACTGGATACCACAAAAACATAGTTTGCTCAGTATTTTACGGGAATAAAGTGTTTGTTTTCTTTGTTAGATGGCTTTTCATACA